CAGGGGCATTAAGCCATAAAGTGTATGTTCCTGCACTTTAGAAATGCCGCTCAACTGAGCAAGAAAGATCTGTTAAGCCAAACCTACACATAATGCCGATGTTTATAAATTCACACCATCGTCGAACCCTGAGGGCACCAGGCAAATTGTGCATGTGATTGAATATATCACTGTTACGGTAGAGTAGAAGAGGGCAACGGCTAGAAGGAGAATACAACAATCTCTCAGGATAAGGAAACACAGGTGATTTGAGTCTGCCTGAAATTAACTGGACCAAAAACTCAGCCCCGACCAGACACGAGGAACTGCTGTCTACCATCGGAAATCAGAATTGGGCTCAAATTATCGATAAATCCACCCAGGAAAACAAAATACTCGATTCAACTTAAGATTCAACTTTATAAAATGTAAGTTTTACCTTCCCTTGATTACTGTTCAAGGATTTTGGCATCACTCGTCTGACGACAGAAAAAAACAAGAAGGAATCCGAAGACGCCTTACTAGATCTTTGTCTAGATGTGAGGATTTCCGAGATTCACATACAAAATGTACAATAGATAGTCTTAAAACTGTTTGGCAAAGGAGACTCAAAAAATGTTCTTAATTTCTTATTCAAAGTTACACATGACCACGGCATCCTCAGCATTAATATGTTAGTAAACAATAATGCCCCCCGTCACACCAGAAACAACGAACAAACTTTAAAAATCCCTAACTTTAGAACGTCCCAAATATCAACTTTCTACTCCATAAGATAAGTCACTTTAAGTCACTTTATTAAGGGAAGAAGGCTCTCGCCCTTGAGCTCCCTATTCATAACCAAAAATCGCAAACTAGGTCCACCGTAACAATAGTACATAATTCAAATGTGGACTTAACATCAGCGATAAGTGTGAGCCAGTTGCAAAGTGCTGCTACTGGCACTATGTTCATTATATCTGTCACAGTTTCTCAGATATGCAAAAATGGGGAATGCCCTACGTCACGCTGTATGAAAAAGCCATAACCTAGTTGAATTTAAAAGAATGACCAAATACTTCTTTTCAAATAGCAATACATGTCTATTTTTAAATATAAAAGGACAATTTTCTTTTCAGTTCTTTAATATAGAATTTTGACCGAAAGGAATATGATTACGCTTGCTACCAGAACAGCATTAGGTCATAAATTTAACAAACATATAATATACAGGGTGTCCCAAAAATGTATACACATTTTAAGTAATTTTAAAATTGGTGTTTATTATAATTTTGTTAGTTCAAAAGCGTAAAAATATTTATAAATATCATTTTATTGTTTTTTCACTACATTTTGATTATTGCTACAGTGGTTGAATTGAGAGAAGCTACAGAACATGAATGCACCCGAATAGCAGGGGAATTGTTTCGAGGTTTGTGCGATTCCATTGTTTCACGTTGTCAGAAGTGCCATGATCAAAATGGACGTCCATTAGACAACATTCAGTGATAAAAACAATAAAATGGTACTTGTAAATACTCTTACATTTATTTAATAATAAAATTATGATAAACACATATTTTACAAATAGGTACAATGTGTATACATGTTTTGGGACGCCCTGTAGAAAGACGCCCACATCAAGAGCGTGGTTTTCAAGTCTTGAAGGAATCACTAGTAGTTGTTCAAGTCTCTTCTAAGCGGCCGACTACGGACACCTAGAGGGCTCATTTTCCGGTTTTATACAACGATCGAAACAGGGTCGAATACTTCCGTCCTCCTACTAGGGTTTCCGACTAAAAGTTCCCACTTGACGAGTATTTCCGAGCCCTTAACCTGCAATGCACACAGGGGTTTTGATGGCGCCCAACAATGTGCTTTACTAATAAAACTTATAATAATATTTAAGGTGAAAAAAGTGTCTGTAATGCTTTCCTGTGAGGCCGTCTAATTATAAAATAATTTGTTCTTATAGCGTTCTTCCTCTAAAGGCTTCATTCATTAGCCAGTAGGAGTACTCTAATACTTTTCTTGGTCCACAGACTTTCCTTTCCGTCTTTCTTTCACTTCCTCAACCTTGTCACCTACATCTTCATTTATGTAAAACAATAATAAGCGTCTTTACTTTCTTTCTTATTGTACACTTTTCCAGCACCCAAACGGCCCCTGGTTAATACTACACCTTTAATTCCCCTTTACTGCGAACACCGTAAGAAACGTGGATGGGAAGACGTGTCTCAGACGGCCTAACAAAAAACCCTATCAAGTTTTTGTTGGCAGAAGACAGGGGTTCTCAATTTGGAGAGGACGTCTCGATTCATCGTATTTCTTTTCAGACCGTTTGCGTGTAAGGTCGCGTGCCAAATCTGTCGGGCTAGATGTGAATAATGAAACCACGTCAAATGATGCCGTGATTTTGTTAAGCCGAACAGTTCTTTCCCGGATGGCGGCCAGAAATTTTAAGGCCCAATTTGGAATTTATATTTGTTAGCACCCGAAAAGCACTATTGATACAAAATTAGTTTCGTAAAAAAATTC